CTCCCCCCCGCCGTCCCTCCGTCCCTCCGTCCATCAATTCCCCCCATCCTTTCATCCCCTCATCCCCGCCTCCTCTATCCCTGAGTCCGCCTCACTCCCTGGGGATGGGGGCGAAAGGGGAGGGGCGAGGACAAGGAAGGGGAGCGGGAACCTCCCATACAATCTCGCTGGCTTTTGCGAGTCGACGCTCATCGACGCCGAATCGACGCGAATTGACGCTCGTCGACGCTAGCCAGCGCTACGCCGACTACCATGACGCAAATCGACGCCGGTGCACTCCAAGACGAAACTGCGACGATAAAAAATTACCCTGTGACGTACCCAACCCATTTGTATCAATGGAAACGAAGAGTTGGCCGAAACTTGTATGGACAATCAACTTGATGTGTAAGCCACTTGGGTGGCGTCACTGTGCTGGGCCCCGCAAGCAGGCCTCGAAAGTGGCGACAGTCTCACTGATCGCAGCCCCCCAAGGATGGCGAGGTCTAATTTGAATCTGCGTGTGGCGTGACTGTGCTGGGCCCCCCAGCAGGCCTCGAAAGTGGCGACAATTTCACAGATCGCAGCCCCCCAGGGATGGCGAGGTCCCGTTTGACTCTGCCGTGGGTACCCACTGCGCAGGGCCCCCCAGCAGGCCTCGAAAGTGGCGACAGTTTCACAGATCGCAGCCCCCCAGGGATGGCGAGGTCCCATTTGAGTCCGCCGTGGGTGTCCAGTGTGCTGGGCCCCCCAGCAGGCCTCGAAAGTGGCGACAATTTCACAGATCGCAGCCCCCCAGGGACGACGAGGTCCCATTTGAGTCCGCCGTGGGTATCCACTGTGCTGGGCCCCCCAGCAGGCCGCGAAAGTGGCGACAGTTTCACAGATCGCAGCCCCCCAGGGATGGCGAGGTCCCATTTGTCCGCCGTGGGTACCCACGCGCTGGGCCCCCCAGCAGGCCTCGAAAGCGGCGACAGTTTCACCACGGATTGCGAGGTCCCATTTGAGTCCGCCGTGGGTACCCACTGTGCTGGGCCCCCCAGCAGGCCTCGAAAGTGGCGACGGTTTCACAGATCGCAGCCCCCCAGGGATGGCGAGGTCTCATTTGAGTCCGCCGTGGTACCCACTGTGCTGGGCCCCCCAGCAGCCCTCGAAAGTGGCGACAGTTTCACAGATCGCAGCCCCCCAGGGATGGCGAGGTACCATTTGAATCTGCGGTGAGTACCCACTGCGCTGGGCCCCCCAGCAGCCCTCGAAAGTGGCGACAGTTTCACATATCGCAGCCCCCCAGGGATGGCGAGGTACCATTAAAGTCCGCCGTGTGTACCCACTGTGCTGGGCCCCCCAGCAGGCCTCGAAAGTGGTGACAGTTTCACAGATCGCAGCCCCCCAGGGACGGCGAGGTCCCATTTGGGTCCGCCGTGGGTACCCACTGTGCTGGGCTCCCAGCAGGCCTCGAAAGTGGCGACAGTTTCACATATCGCAGCCCCCCAGGGATGGCGAGGTACAATTTGAGTTCGCCGTGTGTACCCACTGTGTTGGGCCCCCCAGCAGCCCTCGAAAGTGGCGACAGTTTCACAAATCGCAGCGCCCCAGGGATGGCGAGGTACCATTTGAATCCGCCGTGGGTACCTACTGTGCTGGGGCCCCCAGCAGGCCTCGAAACTGGCGACAGTTTCACAGATCGCAGCCCCCCAGGGATGGCGAGGTCCAATTTGAGTCCGCCGTGTGTGCCCACTGTTCTGGGCCCCCCAGCAGCCCTCGAAAGTAGCGACAGTTTCACAGATCGCAGCCCCCAGGGATGGCGAGGTCCCATTTGAGTCCGCCGTGGGTACCCACTGCGCTGGGCCCCCCACCAGGCCTCGAAAGTGGCGACAGTTTCGCATATCGCAGCCCCCCAGGGATGGCGAGGTACAATTTGACTCCACCGTGTGTACCCACTGTGCTGGGCCCCCCAGCAGGCCTCGACAGTGGCGACAGTTTCACAGATCGCAGCCCCCCAGGGATGGCGAGGTACCATTTGAATCTGCGGTGAGTACCCACTGCGCTGGGCCCCCCAGCAGCCCTCGAAAGTGGCGACAGTTTCACAGATCGCAGCCCCCCAGGGATGGCGAGGTCCCATTTGAATCCGCGGTGGGTACCCACTGTGCTGGGCCCCTCAGAAGGCCTCGAAAGTGGCGACAGTTTCACAGATCGCAGCTCACCAGGGATGGCGAGGTCTCATGTGAATCCGCGGTGGGTACCCACTGGGCTGGGCCCCTCAGCATGCCTCGAAAGTGGCGACGGTTTCGCAGATTGCGGTCCCCCTGGCCCCCCCCCAGGAGCCCTCGAAAGTGGCGACAGTTTCACAGATCGCAGCCCCCCAGGGATGGCGAGGTCCGATTTGAATCCGCCGTGGGTACCCACTGTGCTGGGCCCCCCAGCAGGCCTCGAAAGTGGCGACAGTTTCACAAATCGCAGCGCCCCAGGGATGGCGAGGTCTCATTTGAGTCCGCCGTGGGTACCCACTGTGCTGGGCCCCCCAGCAGGCCTCGAAAGTGGCGACAGTTTCACAGATCGCAGCCCACCAAGGATGGCGAGGTCTCATTTGAATCCGCCGTGGGTGCACACTGTTCTGGGCCCCCCAGCAGGCCTCGAAAGTGGCGACAGTTTCACAGATCGCAGCCCCCCAGGATGGCGAGGTCCCATTGGAGTCCGCCGCGGGTGCACACTGTGCTGGGCCCCCAGCAGCCCTCGAAAGTGGCGACAGTTTCACAGATCGCAGCCCCCCAGGGATGGCGAGGTACCATTTGAGTCCGCCGCGGGTGCCACTGTGCTGGCCCCCCCAGCAGCCCTCGAAAGTGGCGACAGTTTCACAGATCGCAACCCCCCAGGGATGGCGAGGTCACATTTGAGTCCGCCGCGGGTGCCACTGTGCTGGCCCCCCCAGCAGCCCTCGAAAGTGGCGACAGTTTCACAGATCGCAGCCCCCCACGGATGGCGAGGTCTAATTTGAGTCCGCCATTTTTTCCACTGTGCTGGGCCCCCCAGCAGCCCTCGAAAGTGGCGACAGTTTCACAGATCGCAGCCCCCAGCAGCTCTCGAAACGCAGCGACGAGCACAGGTAAAAGGCAAGGGGGGAGAGAGGGACGGGAAGGAAGGAAGGTTCGCGCGAGCAGTGCTCTATTCAAAACGAGAACCCAACGCAGGAGGGTTGGGAAAAACTCATGACTTGCAACGCGAAGGAGTGATGGTGGGCAGGGGGCGAGCGCGTCACCGAGTAAGGTCAATCTGGCGGCTGGTACGGGGCTTGCCTGTGGGCGTACAAAAACCGCCGGTGATTGCGCAAGCGGGGCCGCGCATGGAACGAAAAATCGGGCGGCCCCCAAGGGCGGAGCATGATGCTGGGCAGGTGGGCGGCTGGGGGATGGGGGGGGAAGCACATGGGCAGCAGGGAAGGCAGAAGAGGGGGACGACGAGGAGGCCGGCTCCGTTCAGAACGGGGGGATGTTGCTCGGATCGGGGCCCCGCGAAAACGCCACAGAACTGCCGGTGCTAGTGGCGGGCGCCGACGCGGCCTGCCGCCCTGGGAAGAGGGGGGCGGACGAGGAGGGACTGGGGAGAACGGAGAAGAGGAGAAGAGGATAGTAGGAGAAGAGGAGACCAGGATGATGAAATGGGAGAGAGGGGAAGAGAGCGTCGGGGGGAAGGGAAGGCGGGGAGGGCGGGGAGGGTGGAGAGTGTGGGGAAGGGGGAAGGAGCGAGCGATGCTTGGGGAACAACGGCCTGTGCCCGCTGCAAACTACGTGATCATAACTCGGGCCAGGCTCCCGCGTCTCGGTTGGAAACGGCACGCCGTGGGACCCATGAGACACGGTCTGACTGTATGCCAGCGTTGCCGCGAAGGGGAGGCAAATCGATCCAGCAAGATGGGGAAAGAAACAACTCAGGAAGGCGTACGGCCGTTGGCTCTATCTCTGCACCATTCGACTCTATCGCGGGGGAGGGAGCACACAGCCCGAGAGGACGACCGATGACGGCGGACGACAGTCAGCCCCCGATCATTGCCAGCTGCGCCGCGGGGGCCCGCACGCACACTTGAACAAGCCGTACCCGAACGAAATCTCGCAGTCTCGCCCGCTCTCTCGGAATCGCGGAGGGAGGAGGAAGACGAGGTGAAGCCGGATTGCTGGCGTCGTCGTCGACCTTCGAGCCAGCAGCGTCAGCGGCAACATGTGGAGGAATGATGGACGAAGAGAGGGGGGAGGACGGGAAAAGGAGAGGTATGACGGGGAGGGGAGAGGGGGAGGGGGGAGAAGGGCAAGGATGGACAGTCAGAGCCGACCAGTAATCAAAGCGTGGGATGGGGCAGGACTCGGGTGTGGGGGAGTGGCTGGGCGATGCCATGCAACAAGTGTCGAGGCTGTGCGTGGGCGGGGGTCGACCCGCTGCGCAGACCATGCCCCGCTCTGCCCCCCACCCACGACCGAAAGAGGCAACGGGACACAGTCCGTGGAAAGGCCGTTTCCCCACCTAGGCCAAGTTGTATGCAGGGTGGAGAGCGTCTGACCCCAAGGCACCTGTTCCTGCTGATCTCATGGACCTCATAGGAAGTGTTCAGAAAAGGGAATCGTGGTTCACGGGAAGGAATGAGGTGCAGTAACTGACTCAGACGTGGACGATTTTTGCTGTTATGCGCGGCCCACCACTCTGCTATGGTGGGATGTGGCCTCATAGGAAGTGTTCAGGAAAAGGGAATAGTGGTTCACGGGGAGTGGCGCCCGATGTGCGACGCCAGGCTTGGGGCTGGCATCGGCGGGCGCATACAAGGCAGGTAGACACCTATAATGGAGAATATGCCTGCTGGGGCAAGCCCTGGCACCTGAAGCCTTATCGAGCACCGCGCCCAAGGCACAGAAGATCGACAGAGAGCCGAGAGGACAGAGACGAGAAGCAAACAATGCATCATGCTTGCCCGCCCGCCTCCACTCGTTCCCAACGTCGTCGTCATCCTCCTCTTCTCTTCCTCCTCCTCCTCCTCCTCCTCCTCCTCCTCCTCCTCCTCCTCCTTCTCCTCCTCCTCCACCCTCCTCCTCCTCCTCCTCCAATTGCCCCTCCATCCCTCCTCCTCCTCCTCCCTCCTCCTCCTCCCTCCTCCTCCTCGCCCCCCCCCTCCTCCTCCTCCTCCTGCTCCTCCTCCTGCTCCTCCTCCTCCTCCTCCTCCTCCTCCATCTTGACCGCCTTAGAGCCAAGCCACGCCTCCACCCCAGCTGTTTCCCGTCGTCGGGGCACACGCTCGGCCGCTCCCGCCTCCTCTCGCTCCTCCGCCTCTGCTCCCTCCGCCGCCGCAGCGCCTGGGGGCTCTCCCTCGCCATGTCGTCAAGGAGCTCGGCCAGCAGCTCTGCGCTGTCGAGTCTCGGTGCGGCGAGGGCGGCTTCTACGCATAAGAGGCTCGCGAAGGGAGGGGGGCGGGGGAGGCACAATAGAGATGGGGGCGGGCAGGGGAAACGGGAAAGGGCGCAGGTGATGAGGGCGGGAAAGGGAGGAAACGGGTAGAGGACGTCCCTCTCTCCTCCTCCTCCTTATCCCCTTCCTCCTCCTCCTCCTCCTCCTCCTCCTCCTCCACCTCCTCCTCCTCCTCTTCCTCATCCTCCATCTACTCCCCCTCCCCCTCCTCCTCCTCCCTCCTCCTCCTCCTCTTCCTCCTGCTGCTCCTCCTCCTCCTCCTCCACATGCTCCTATCCTCAGTGTGGCGGTAGGGGAAAGTCTCGTCTGCATGTGCGGCTGTGCTGCATTTGCCCCTCGCCCGAGAGAGCCCGTCGGCCGGCGCCCAGCCGTACTCCAGGCAGACCGCCGAGTACTCGTCGGCCCACTCCTCCTTTGCCCGACGTTCGCGGCAGCACAGGAAGATGGGGGGAGTGGTGGATGCGGGAGGGGAACGAGGGGAGGGAGCGAAGAGGGAGGGAGGGAGGGAGGGGAGGGAGTGAAGAGGGAAGGGAAGGGAAGTGAGGAGGGAGTGAAGAGGGGAGGGAGGGAGGGGAGGGATGGCAGGAGAGAGGAGAGGGAAGGGGGAAGGGAGGGGTTGGAACAGGATGGGAGGAGGCGGGGCAGTGGAAGGAAGAGGAGGAGGATGAGGAGGCGGGAGGAAGCTATGATGACAAGGACAGGACGAGGGGAGGCTGTCGGGAGGCTGGCGGGGGGAGATGGCCTAGACGCAGAAAGAGGGAGGCCGAGAAGTGGGTTGGACGGGACGGCCCTGGAAGGCGGGGGTTGGCCCTGGAAGCTCGATCGACCGATCGGCCCATCGATTCGGGTGCAGTGCCACGGAATACGGCACTCCCCATCGGCGGTGCTCGAGCAAGAGGTTTCGCAGCCTTGCCCCTGCAGCCGCCCCGTGCACCGGAGAGTGGAGCAGCTGGCATTTTTCCTCGGGTTGCCAAGCATGCGACGTTTCTCAGGAGGGAAAAAAACACACAGACACAATTAATCCTCGATTCCCAGGAAAATATGGGAAAATATGGGAATTGGGGGGGAAGACAAAAACCCAGAAAATATGGGAAAATATGGGGACTATTTTTATTTGTGTGTATTTATCTGTGTGTCCTAATTTCCCTTTAGTTTCGTGAGTTCGTGGAGCAGCTCATTCAAGATGCGCGGCCGCCCGTGCGGCGCCCCTGGAGGGGGTCTGCCGAGGCCTCGCCGGGCGGCCGGCCGTGGGCGCCTCGCGCGCGCCCCTGTGCACCTCATGGCCTCGCCGAGGTCTCGCCCGGTGGCCGCCCACGTCCGCCTCGTGGGCGCCCCCTACGGGCGGCCGCACAGCCGGCAGCTCCGCCCTCGCATCCCAGCGCCTCGAAGGGTCCGCCCGCGCGTGTTCGCGAGGACTCTCTCGCCTCTCTATCGTGCACGGCCTTTCGCAGTCGAGATCGGTGAAAATATTCCCGCCTGGCGGGTATTGATCACCCCCCCCCCCTCCGCGAGCCCTTGCAAAAACTAAGCATCCTTTGCCTACACATGCGCGGAGCACATGCGCGCGCCGTCGCGCGCGCATGCCAACATCGTTCAAATAATATTGGTGTCCGAACAAGGTCAAGACGTGGCTAAACAAGTTCGTTGAAAAACCGCAGCTACTGCAACATAACAGCTGCGAGACTTCTGCGCGCACGCACTGTACTTTGGGATGAATCATTGTGTATGTCAACTGGGACCCTGCGGGCCATACGAGCGAACCCATGCCGAAAACATCCATCACCCCGCGAGCCCGACAACTCTGTCACACAATGCCATGCGGGCCACGGCACGCGTTTCCGCGCGCACACGGTGAAACCATTCACAGACCGTTGGTGCTCGAACAACTCAACACAGGGGTCTTCAACAGACGTTATCATATGTACTATCTTAATCATCGCCAGCGTCACAAGTGCCATCACAATCGTCATCATCATATCGTCGTTGTCGTCATTATCACCAATGCCGAGACATCGGTATTGTCGATACCGCCGCCCTCGTCACATGTCTGCAAGAGCGCTTCCACATCTTCCTCACAAACACCATCGTCATCACCGACATGATCATCCTCCGCATCATCATCAGCAGCATCAGCATTATCATCGCCATTTCCATCATCGTGATCATCATCATCATCATCATCATCATCATCATCATCATAATCATCATCATTACCACCAACAACATCATCATCGTCATCATCAACAATATCATCAACATCATCATCACCATAATTATATAATACTTCACCATTATCATCACCATCGCCGACGTCATCATTGCAACCGCCAATGTTATCACCCTCTTTTTTTGTTGGGGGGGGGGGCGACCGCGATCCACCACGTGTGTTCCTGACACAGACGGCAAGATTTAAAATCAAAACCCTGGGCTCGCATAGCAAGGCAAGTGCACGTGTCACGAAATCGATGCAGGATCAGTTGCAGGTAGAGGGCAATACAAACGCTTTGTTGGAATAAGACCAAAGTCAAGTGTTCCCTGCACTGACAGAGCAGGCATGGAACATCCAAAGACTGACTTAAGACTGGCGTCTCCGAGCGCCGTGAATAACCACGAGGACAGGCTGTCGTACGATGCCTTCACAGGAGGAGAGGAGGAAAGAGAGGAGGAGAGGCACGAGCCAACGTACCAGATCCCACAATCCACGCCTTTCAGCGGTGGAGCAGGCAGACCGAAGATCAACATAAGTTACTGAAACAGAGCATGCAAGGAGGGGGGCGGAGGAAGCGGTGGCGGCGGCAGCGGCAAACAAGAGATGAGAGGAGGGCAACGGGCACGGGCGTGAACCGCCAACTCTAGGCGAGCCTCAACTGCAGCAGTCGGGGGGTAGCGAGGACGAGACCGGCATAGGAAAAGAGGGAAGAGGTCAACTAGGGAGCACATCCACACTGCTGGCCTCATTCGCATCACTTCAGCCGACGTGCTGCTCGTAGCCGCATAGCCCGCAGCAGAGCACTTCCTGATTCAGGATGCCAGAGTCGTGCTGCGGCTCCCCCTTGCGCTGCGTTCCGTCGTACACCCTGCGAAATGCTCAAGAAATCATGGGTTAAGAAATTCAGAGTCTGCGAATTTGAATAAAAAACCCGAACTTCTGTTAAAATCTTGGGATTTACATCGAAAAGTTAAGAATAATCGAGACTCTGGACGAACACTTAGGTTTTCTTAAGCATCGCCTAAGGTGTACGGCTCGTCGCCTTCGCGTGCACTCCGGACGCGGTGCTCGCGGCCCTGCACCTTCACCACCCGGATGCCCACATCGTGCTGGTGCCGAACAGCCACACGCTGCAAGGCGGAAGCCGTGACACACGAACGTAAGGCCATCTAAAGCGTGCGTCCTGCATGTTTCACGAGGTCTCGAGCGATAGCGCGAGTCCCAAATAGATCATAAAGAGCTTCAGACTTCGTCCCGCGTCGAGTCCGTGACGCGCAGCAGGGTGGGACACCCAAGCACTGGTCACACGAGCTGCCGCACCGAGTCCGGGTCACGCTGCACCCAAGCTGATGGTGGCATCGGTGCTGGCGTCGGCGTGAGCGTACTTAGGAACTGGCGTTTGTGCTGTCGTCGGTGCCGGAGAAGGTGCATGCGCTCCAGGGGAGTTAACGTGATCAGACACCGTCGCCCCTGTTGGGTTCAGAACGACTGTCTCACCAGCGTCGGTGCTGCTGGAGTCGGCGCTGGTACAGGCGCAGACGTTGGTGCCGGCGTAGGCTCCGCGTCGGTGCTGGCGTCGATGCTGGCGTGGGGGCCGGCGGAGGCGCCGGCGTTGGTGCTGGCGTCGGCGTTGACGTCGGCGCTGGTGTATGCGTCGGCGTTAGTGCTGGGGTCGGTGCTGGCGTCGGTGCTGCTGCAAGCGCTGGCGTTGGTGCCGGCGTAGGCGCCGGCGTGGGTGCTGGCGTCGATGCTGGCGCCAGTGCTGATGTAGGCGCTGGCGTTGGTGCTGCTGTAGGCGCGGGCGTTGATTCCGGCGACGGTGCTGGCGTCAATGCCGGCGTCTGTGCCAGAGTAGGCACCAGCGTCGGTGCTGGCGTCGGTGCTGGCGTCGATACTGGTGTATAGGCTCTGGCGCTGGTGCCATCGTAGGCACGGCGTTGGTGCTGTGGTCGGCGCTGGCGTCGGCGCTTGCGCAAGCGCTGGCACTTGTGCCGGCGCGCTCCCAAGCGTTGATGCTAATTCCGGTGATGGCGTCGGCGCTGGCGTGGGCGCCGGCGGAGGTGCCGGCCTCGGAACTGGCGTCGGTGCTGGCGCCAGCGCTGGCGTTGGTGCCGGCGTAGGCGCCAGCGTTGGTGCTGGCGTCGGTGCTGTCGCCAGTGCTGGTGTAGGCGCTGGCGCTGGTGCCGCCGCAGGCGCAGGCGTTGATTTTGGCGACGGTGCTGGCGTTAATGCTGACGTCAGCCCTTCAACTTCACATCCATCTTATCGTCAGCCCTTCAACTTCAACGTCAGCCCTTCAACTTCACCTTCTAATTCAATGCTGACGTCAACATTAACACCATCAATTTCAGATCCGTCTTATCGTCGCCGACGTCGTCCCCTCTGTCGACATGAACATCGGGATCGTCCTCGCCAGCGTCGCTGTCGCCACACATCTGCGGTGTGCCAAACCACTTGGGGGCGGGTGGGCGGGGTGGGCGGGATGTCTGCAAGGGCATCGGAGGCCATCGCGCGCGCGGATGCAATGTTAACATGAATTGCACACCCCGCGGCTTGCCCTGCCTAATCTGCTTACCCATCATGCCGTACCGTGCACCGATCGGGCGTTGGCAGAACTGGGTTTAGTGGGACCTGATTTAGTGACGTGTGCTGGGGGACGCCCCCCCCGACCTGTTCCACTGACCAGAACTACCGTCACCCGAAAAGCACCAGCTACGGCAGACCTGGTTTAGTGATTCTGGTCAATTCAAAGGCTCGGAGGCCCTACTACTAACAGGGTCTCCTCACCTGGGATCCTGGCTATTCCCGAACCGAGCAGCGTACACTATTCACGTCTCACCGCATAGCGTGGAGCCATACATTTCACCATTTCTACATATATGCAGATATACATATGTATGTATGTACGTATGTATATATATATATATATATATATATATATACGTATATGCAAGACTGCATTGGCGCGTCGTACCATGCACACTGGTCCTTGAAATGTTGCATGCCATGCAAACGGAATAACAACACATATAACAAACACTTCAACGAGAAATCCGTGTTGCCTTCTCCGGCATCGACGTTACAATGATGTTATTCGATCTCATTCCTCCATGTTTCTTGTTCCTCATTCTCGCCCTACCTTGCGAATTCTTCTCCATCCTCCTCAACTCTTTGTGCGGAGGCTCCTCCTTGGAGAGCCTCTG